TATATTTGATGAGAAGTATTTTAAAAAAAATTAATTGATTACAAGACTACAAAGATTTATAATCAATTAAAAGCATTAATTAAGAAAATATAATAAAAATTATTAAATTAGATTCAAATGATGTTTTAAATCTTGCCCAATTCTTAACGTCTTATGACTACGTGATTAGGGTTGTCAAAACTAGTCTTTATTTGTGAACGGCTCGTGTTCGGCTCACTAAGAAAGCTAGCCGAACACGAACACATATTTTGAGCTCAAAATATAAACGAGCCGAACATGAGCTAAGCCTAAGCTCGCTCGTGTTCGGCTCGTTTACACCCATAGTTAGGAAAGACAAAATGTTTGTTATACCTTTTTATAAATTTTATCAACTTAAATATTGTATAAGTTATTGAATAGCAATAATTTATTTTATTAATAATAGTACATAATTTACTTCTAACAAGTTAAAATTATTGTATAATTATAAAAATTGTTTACCACTCTTAAAATACGACATTTATATACATATCACACACTTTATGTATTTGCATATCAAACGCTTGGACTTTCAAGCTTGCATACATAACACTAATTTTTAATATCACTTCAAAAATATTATTATAACTAAAATTTTAAAAATGATATATAGCTTTTAATGAATAGGTTCACGATACCAAAATGTTACAAATATAAATATCAAACTATATGTGTTTAGAAATGCAACAAAAAGGGAATTATGGGATATGCATATAAATTTCACTTAAATTTTACTTAATTATATTTTTTATGTGTTAGAAAATTTATGATAGAAAGATAGTTTATTATTTTGTGTTTATACAAAGATCTGGCACACATAAATAAGAAATGTCATGACTAGTTCGTAGGAGACAGAGTATTTGTAAGCCAATTCAAATGGATAAAAATCACAAGTTCTAATTTAATTGAAATGATTCAACTACCGTACATTATATGTTACAAAAAATACTCCTCTTAGTATGCAAACATGCTTATATACTACAATGGACATGAGTTATAGGGAACACTTTTATGATGCAAGTTGAAGAAGTTTTAATGCGTCTAAATATCATTTTTATGGTTTGTTTTATCTTTGACTTAAATAAAGGAAAGGCTATAGAGCAAAATGTTTAAGATGAGCCTTGGAAAATGCAAGTTGTGTCTAAGTTGGCTACGATATGTATTGAGGTCAATATTGTCGATGATATCTACCATATTAATTATAATTGTACATCAATGATATGATCACATGAATCTAGCAAATATTCAACAATTCTTGCTTATGAACACTAAATGACTGCATCACAATAGTCAAAAGATGGAAACGCCAAGTGTCATTTCCTTTGTTGGAATTATGAGCTGACTGAATAGAAGCACAACTGCACGAAAGAATAAGTGACACCTAATCCGATGGACAATCATTCTTAACTAGCTCCCTCAACTAACTTCATATGTCTTCACAAAGATAGCCAAAGGGAACCCCACAAAATATCTTTCTAATCCTCTGAGAATGTCCCTTGTTCAAGAGAGATGCATGTCAGATTACATTGATACACCCTCAGCCTGACAATCTAGGTTAACCCTTACAATAGGAGGACCTCTACTCAAGTTTCCATTGAGAGGGTTGACCGATGACCAATCGAATTTATGTTAGCTGACAAAAGGTTTTAGTCACCGATTGATAAGGTTAACGAATCATTAAATGCCATTCTTCAAATGGTTATGGATATGAAATGGTGTCAATGTCAGTTATGATTGTAAAAAACTATCAGAGTCGGTAAAAAATATGAAAGGTGTAATAATTACTTGTAAAGTTCCTATTAAAACAATGACAAACATGTAATTTTACTAGATACTGTTGGAACCTATAAATATGGGGTTATTTCTTCAATAAAGGACACTAAATTTACTCTCTAAGAACTTGTGCTACTGTGCATTCTATTCTTCTCCCAGTCTCTCTCTATTTCTCCCATCTGTCCAATGTTATATACATTTGGTGTAATCCACAAGACATATTTAGATCTAACATTCTAAAAGATGTAGTGAACGTGGAATCTTGTCATTAACAAGAAGAGGAGCATGCCACTTAGAAGGAACTCATTTGGTAGACACCTCAAACATGGAGCATGTAATGGGATTTGTTCCATAGTAAATTTAGGAGCTCATAGATCAAATGACGGGGTTGACCTTTACGCTACTTGAGAGAAGATCATAAACTCCACAAGAATAGAACCCTCAAGAAGAAGCTGAACCCCATGGACACCAAGCGACTTAAAAGGGAATAATGGATGGAAGACTATTAATACCATGATAGTGTTGGGTCTAGACCGAGGATCAAACCATGATTTGGGTGAATGAAGGTCTATCATCAGTTAGAGTATGTGTTCTTGACTCGACCCACAAATATGCAGTTATTTACTTTTCAAAAGATATCAAAAAACTTGACCCAATATATCTTAGCGGCTAATGCCCAAAATGATATGTTATAGAATTTTAGAATTTGATGTGCACATAACGGGTATTACGCTAGTATACACATCGTTTCAAGTAATATAGAGTTTTCCTTAAAAACCCTGTATCGATCCCACAGAGAAGCAATAAATTTATATAATGACTTCTAAAATTCCTACTTAAAACAGAAGATAATTATCTAGAAAAAAGAAGTAATTACTACCAATAACTGCAGTTTAAAAACTAAAATAAAAATGTTAAGTTTTTTGAAGACAGCTAAGTGTAGAAGAGTTTCAAATTATGTGAAGAATCTTCCTCCTTGCAATGAGTTTATAATCAATGTAGGAAACAAATGTTTAAAGGTTAAAATGTAGTTGTGTGCCAAATAGAAGCATACCTATCCTTTATCATCTTTCGAGTGCATAAAGAAGATTAGCTAATCTAAAGTTACTTTCCTAATTGATATGGTTATGATGAGTAGATTCTACTCTCTCTCTTCCAGATTACCCACTATGCCCTCTCTATAGAACTAACCAGGCCTTAGGTTCC